TCATTTGATGGCTAGTAATGGGTGGGATCGATGTCCTCGTCCTCATCATCAGTGCTGACCATTTCGCTGCTATCGTGCGATTTGCGACCGTTTGGGATACCGTTGCCCTTAATGTCCTCCTCATGTTTCACTCGCTTGTGTTTCGTCCGTCGGTTCTGAAACCAGACTTTGATCTGAGTTTCGCTGAGATTGAGATCTCTGGCCAACTGTTTGCGTTCACTGCCGACGACGTACTGGTTCTTCTCAAACACCTCCTCCAGCCTCAAGAGTTGCGACGGCGAGAAAGCCGTGCGGATCCGCTTCGGCTTCCGGAAGGGACCCAACAAGAAGTTGGGAACTGTATTCGGATCGTAACCTAATGTCACGCCAATAGATACACAAGTGATTAGAAATATTTAGTTTTCATATCACCAATAGATACATAAGTTATTAGAAATATTTAGCTTTCATATCATAATTGATTGTTAATTTGGTGTATGTTTTATGTGTGGACTTATGTTCAGCTTTATTCTCTCCGACGATAATCTAATCTGCTTTTCAATTAATCATAAGATTTTACTTATGATTAAGAAATTATTGCCTCGAAATACAACACAACACCGAAATTGTTTGCATTTCACTCCCATATATCCATGGATGGAGTGTTTGACTCATTGGGCAAACAATTCACGTTTGGCTTTGGGTTTTACTACTCGTTATTGCTATACATTTGGCTCTAATTTAATGTTCACTTTTTTGGTTCACATTTTTATACTTCACTCCGAAATCATTAAATTAGGAGAAAAGTATTTTATCAATAGCTATAAATTGTGTACATTTATATGTTGCATACGCACACAATTTCATACTTAAATAATATGTATTAAACCCTTGAACTAAATACACGTTTCTAACGCACGTTATATAAGAAAAAGTAAGTTAAACACACATATGAGTACAAAATCTTATAACTTATAATTGGATATCATTTCTTAATAGTGTGTGCTTTTGTAGAGCAAAGGAAATACTGATTTATATGTATTTTAAGGCTCTGTCACTCAAATAGATTTTGATACAAATTTATATAAACTGATTGTAATCTCGTTTTCAGAAAAAATTAAAGCATAAATTTTTTCCCTTAAAATTTATATAAAATTACACATTTTTGCTGTCATTTTGAATTATATCTGTAGTGTTTTAAGACAAATAATTACAGATAAAAATTTTACAAATATTTTTGAAATTACTATCTTAAATTTTAATGTTTATATAATTTGACTTAGAGTTATATTTTTACTAATGATAATATTGCCGTACATTAGTTTTATATTAGATTTATATTCGCTAATAAAATACATCCATTTATCATTATTAGGCGCATAAGCACTTGCATTATAAAGTGAACACTTTTATAGCCACAAATTAATAATATAGAATTATGACTGAACAAGGACATATCTATATTCTAGTTGAATGTTATTTAATTATTGCTAAATTGCCTATAGATATGGAAATATTGACTAATGATTAACTAAATGAAGTAACAATTGGCACATTGTTTTGAAAGTACCTCTGAAAACAAGCAAATGATTGATACATACCATGCATAGGCGGTAGTAGTTGTGAATGTCTCATATATGGTGACCAGTGGCCAAAGGCTGGGTTTAAATTAACACTACTATTGTAAAAGTCCGGTGCGATGTGATTAGATCTGGACATGGAGTTAATCATATGAAGGGCCATGGGATGGGTCGGGTGATGTGGGCCGGGATGCGGCGATGGGTGATGTGGATGATGGCTGGGCTGATGACTAGCGGCCGCGAAGTGGGGGGCAGTGGACACGTGTGTCGGCGCTGAGCCGTAACCACTCATAAACCGTAACAAATCACTGGTGGGTATGGGATGTGCGGGCGATGCGAACGCCGAGGACTTGGATGGCGACGACGGCAACACATGGGAGACGGGAGGGGACAGACTCTTGCGGTCAGAGGCCGGGCTAGGAGTGGATGAGTGTCGCGATGAGGAGCCGTCTTTGGGCGCACCGCACGAGTCACTGCCGCCGCTGCCGACCAACGCGTCGATCGAAAACGAGTGCTTCGGCTTCTGTTGAGTCGTTAATCCGTTCAACAGTTTGTGCCGATTGTTGACAATCACTGTCTGATCGCGAGTAACACAAGGCATCATCACTTGGGATCTGATTTGAGACGATTGTTATCTTATGCCTCAATCGGTGCTCAATTGCAATCACTTTTGTTATGAAGACTTTTATGGAAACAAACTTTTGTCAGTCATTACAGAGTCCGTTGTGACGAGTGGTTAATGTTTTATCACTTAATTAGCAAAAAAAACTTTTTTCTTTCCCAAACAAAATAGTTTCCGAGTTTTATTTTCGGTATAAAAATCAACAAAAAGTTTTTCGTTCACTAAAACAGCGGTTGAGTTGTAATTAGTTTTCTCGAGACTTTTAGGACAGTATAAAACTTTCACTACTTTTTTGTGTTCAACCAAAAGACAAAACTTTTTTCTCAACGGAACAGAAGAAAAAGGTTTCTTAAAAATAGCGTAAAATATTTGTCGCAAACAATCAAATAGTGAAAAACGACTTCAATTTTAAGTCGACGGAGTTGTGATGAGATGATCGGCGATTGAATTGAAAGAAAACTTTTTGTGTTTTCCGCTTAAATACTAATTTAAATGATTTTCTCTGTAGAAGTGGAGCGACGGACGACTGGAAAACACTGTGTATTACATCGAAACGAGTCTCTCGTATATGTTGTAACGCGTTGTCGTAGAAGTGCTTAACAACACTGAAGTGCCAAACAGTTTGGTTGAGTAGTTTGGTGTCTGTGCTGTCGGAGCTAACTATCCCTACACTCCCGTCAACCACTCCTTCCCAGCGCTGCCATTGGCTCCGATGGCTAACATTATTCTGGTATTCCTCTCACAAGTTTTGCCAACAAATTCTTGTGTCAAAACAATTTTGCCTTAACTTATAGTTTCTGCTAATAGTTTATTATTACGATATTTAGTCAAATAAATTGATTTTTCTTACTAATAAATATTTATTAATATATTATTACTATCGCCACAATCTCTCTCTCTCTCTCTCTCTCTCTCTCTCTCTCTCTTACCTTTGTTATTGATATATTTATTGTGTTTTATAGTAGATTTTTAGAAATTTACCCTTC